AAAGACAGTCTCTTTAACAAATGGTGCTGGCATAACTGGATATCCATCTGCAAAAAACTGAAACAAGACCCATACCTCACTCCCTGCCCAAAAACTAACTCAAAATGGATCAAAGACTTAAATATAAAATCAAAAATGGTAAAGATCATGGAAGAAAAAAATAGGGACGATGCTAGAAGTCCTAATACATGGTATAAACACAATATGGACCGTAAGTAACAATGCACAAGCACCAGAAGATAAGACTAAATAACTGGGAGCTCCTAAAAATCAAACACTTATGCTCATCAAAAAACTTCACCAAAAGAGTCAAAAGACAACCTATAGGCTGGGAAAAAATTTTTGGCTACAACAAATCCAATCAGCGTCTAATCTCTAAAATCTACAAGATACTGTAAAACCTCAATAACAGAAAGAAACTAACCCAATTAAAAAATGGGCAAAGGATATGAACAGGCACTTCACCAAAGAAGATATTCAGGCAGCTAACAGACACATGAAGAAATGCTCAAGATCCTTAGCCGTTAGAGAAATGGAGATCAAAACAACAATAAGATATCATCTCACCCCAACAAGGCTAGCATTAATCCAAAAAGCACAAAACAATAAATGCTGGAGAGGTTGTGGAGAGACTGGAACACTTATGCACTGTTGGTGGGAATGTGAAATGGTACAACCACTTTGGAAATCAATTTAGTGCTTCCTTAAAAAGCTAGAAATAGAAGTGCCATACAACCCAGCTATCCTCCTCCTTGGAGTATATCCTAGAGAAATAAGAGCCATCACACAAATAGATATATGCACACCCACGTTCATTGCAGCACTGTTCACAATAGCAAAAAGATGGAAACAACCTAGGCGCCCATCAGCGGACGAATGGATAAACAAATTATGGTATATCCACACTATGGAATACTACGCAATGATAAAGAATAATGATGAAGCCGTGAAACATCTTATAACATGGAAGAATCTGGAGGGCATTATGCTGAGTGAATTTGGTCAGTCATATAAGGACAAATATTATATAAGACCACTATTATAAAAATGCAAGAAAAGGTTTAAACTCGAAGAAAACATTCTTTGATGGTTACGAGGGTTGGGAGGGAGGGTGAGAGTTATTTACTAACTAGATAGTAGATAAGAATTATCTTAGATGAAGGGAAGAACAGCACACACTGCGGGGGAAGTCAGCACAACCAGACCAAACCAAAGCTAAGAAGTTTCTGAATACAGTCAAACACTTTGAGGGACAGAGTAGCAGGGGTAGGGATCTGGGGACTATGCTTTCAGGGGACATCTAGGTCAATTGGCATAACTAAGCTTGCTAAGAAAATGTTCTGCATCGTACTTTAGTGAGTGGCATCTGGGGTCTTAAAATCTTGCAAGCCACCATCTAAGATGCGACAATTGGTCGCAACCAGCTGAAGTAAAGGAGAATGAAGAACACCAAAGACACAAGGAAAGTAGTAGCCTAAGAGACAGAAAGGGCCACATAAGCCAGAGAGTTCATCAGCCTGAGACCAGAAGAACTAGATGGTGCCTGGCTACCAACAATGACCACCCTGACAG